AGATGAAAAGAGGAAAGGTTGAACATGTTCATGGCTGATGAATAAGAAGAAACGAAGGAGGTTGAGAAGACGAAAACAAAAAAGAAGGAGAATAAGAATATACACAATGTCCTGTCAATTCTGCAAATTTAGAAGGCAACGTTTCATGTTTCCAGAGGTCTACGAATTCCTTCAAACATACCCAGATTCCATGGTATTATATCACTTGCAGAACATGAATGCGAAACAAGACAATTGAGTCTGATCGAACAAAAACATGTTTGATCATTAAGATATTATACCTCGACAGAATACCTACATATCTGCCTACGAAGCGAAGTTATTGTGGTGTTCGAATATGTATTTGCTTGGCTAAACTCTGTGATCTTGTTTTGCATCGATGTATGCAAGTGGTGCAATATCATGGAACTATAGCAGCTCGGAAAGCTGCGGCTGTGCCACGTAAATCCGCAGAATCGGTACGAGATTGCTAATGTTCTCATTGCCCTTCCTTTCATAAAGAAAAGATTATAGAACGTCGCCTGGCATTCGTGGCGCAACCACAGTGACGACAAGTTGGATAGCGGATTACGATGGAAAAGCTAGACCGTTATAAATACCTTGAAGCAGTGTTGGCTTACAATGGCGACGAATTTGGCTGCCATCGGTTTATTTTTTCAGGCTGTTGGACGTATAGGAAGATCTTAGTGTAAGAACAGTCAGAAAAGATTGCCATTCTGAGAGCCGCCATGTTCCTGATGCCGTTGTACAGTTTCGAAACCGGTCCTTAAACGTTGAGCAGTTCGTTTCGACCGCACTAATTACATAGGACCCTTTCAGCAGGGCCAGGAAGGAGTAGGTGCTAGCGACGTCAAAGAAGATGACCATGTTAACTTAGGGATCGGTGTCTAGCTTTATTAAGCGGCCATTAAACAGAATGGAAATATGTTTAAAGATGATGTCACCTGAGAATCGCATACTTGCCGTAAACACGGTGGAGGACAAAATGAAACATGGGAACATTTCGTTTATGAGGACCTGTTGGCGACGAAAATTATAATCATTCCCAGGGCAGGAAATTTAGCCAAATATCAGTCTGAGATACCATTTCTGAAGTACTTTCTATATGTCAGAGTCATAAATTTCCATTACCCCGCTGCTTAAGCTCTCCTAGCCTTAGATAATGACGGCAAAGCAATGACACCTGACATGTTGGCGATGGCTACCCCGGAACATCGAGGTTTCATCTTATTTTATCTAACAACAAAGACACTATTCGTCTTTCATCAGATGTTCTCTATAGCGGATGATTTGTTCAGAGGTTGATCTTACACATAGGTTCCAAGCAGTATAGCGGATTAAATTCATCCAGGAGGCTGTTGTTGGTGTCATCGTTGCCTGACGCTATAAAAGCTTGAATTGTGAAATAGTCCAGATTTGCGATGTTTGTCAGAAATAGTATATCTGAGGTGCTGAATTTCTTGTGACGAAAATTTTTAACCATGAACCATTTTGATTGAGTAAACCTTTGATGACTCAAAGATCAAAATGAAGGGTTATGGCTGAGATTAAGACGCAGTCGGTCATCGCAACCAAGAGAAGAACGAAGTTGGAGGTAACAAGCAACGAAGAAGAGAAGAAAGGGTTTCTGGACTTTCGGTTGCTCTCGAGATTTAACGTTGGCGATGCAAACGACTTTTACAAGACACAACGAATCACATTAATGAGTCGTACAAATGCCTCACCCCTCCCATGACTCCTTCGCCGTCGGCCTGAAGGACTTCTTGTAGAGCGATGCACAGAACCAAGAGGAACGCAGCCTTTCACCGCCATAACCAGAGATTGGAGGAAGAGGAAATGAAAGAAGGAGAAAGGGTCCATGTGTCCGCATTCTGTTGAGGGATGCTGGTGACAGTCACTTTTGCGAGACACCAGACTATAGTAATCAGTCCTGCAATAGGCATGCTTATTTCACTTGTCATCGTGAAAGTGAATCATTAAAAACATAGCAACGCCCAGAATTAAATCAGAAACACGGAAATCTCTGACTAACGGTGCGGCGTCATTCTGCAGCATGGTGCCGGAAAAAGCGATCAAGTCGCAGCTGGTCGAAAAATGGATCACGTGGATCACGTTAGTGCCGCTTCTCTGGTTTTATTGTTGAAATTTAATTATATAAAGTTTACGCTTGCGGAATATATTGGTCAGACATGCCGATGGGTCGCTTCCTGTCTTCTGCTTTCTCAAGCTCTCTTGCAATTCATCAGGCGGCTGTCAAGCACCACCACTCATAGGCCGCTCCTCTTCTACGCAGGGGCCTCCATCAACCAATCGGTGAACAGTTGTTGCGAAAAGTTACAGTGATTCTGAATCGGCTTTTCGATGCAGTCATGGTCAATTATTTAGCCTGCTCACATTCCTAACGGGCCAATCATTTTTCTGCTTCTTGTGAATTTTAAACATTATTTATATGTCGTTGCATTTCATTCGTAATACTCATTCTTTCACTTCTAATATACATCAAATTTGGTAGTAAATCAAACTAATTAAACAGTTACGCAATTATTCGTCTAATTATTTCATCACTTACTTCATCACTTCAATATATAAGTCATAAAAAACTGCTCAATACAACGCTTGTTAAATTTAACACTTGCTATTTACTTTTTACTTATTCAAAAGTTGTCATTGATCTAACCGTGCATGGTTTTCGCGGAGATATGTGCAGTATCACAAGATAAAACAAGATGCTGCGTGGTGTTTACTAATAACCCAGCTACAAGTGAATAACGTAGACTTGAAGGCTGACCATGAATCCCAAAGCTGTGAGCCAACGAAGCGACGGGGACAATAGTTCATGGAGCAGCTCAGTGCACACTTCAGATGGCTCTGACTGGGAGAATGGCATTCTAAGCATGACCCTGGAAAAAAATAATTTTCGGCCCCGTCCGTACTGATTTTTAACGAATGCACAACGGCATATTTAAGTACGTCATCTGCCTTCTAAATCAAAATGGTGACTTTTGGAAAGACTGCAAATAAAGACGAATATCCTTGAGGTAGCAAGAGGTCAGGGTCATACTGTGGCGTTGTACCGGGTTGGATTGCTAAATAATCACAATTTCTCCAAGCCGATAGTTTCGTTGAGCAAAAAGCACACTTTATTTTACTTCTCTGTAAGCAGTCAAGAAACGGCAGGTAATAATCGGTCGACTTGCAAACAAGAGGACCCGCATTCTGGAGTCATCAGACTGGAAAATGTGAAAAGTATGGTCAAGCTGCCTGATGCGGGTGCCGTATACGCCTGCAATTCTCTTGATCCATCTCACAGACGACGAAGTCGTGTGATAGTTTACACAAGGTGTTAACCTTATGTTTGTCGAATTGGGCATTTTCTAGAACATGATGTCCTAAATGCAACATGCAGGTCTGTTAATCCTACCCACAAATACCCTTCGAAGGGCCAGGAGAGGTCTTAAAACTGTAGCAGCTCTTAAGCAGAGAGCATGACAAATGTTGCCTGTCTTCGTCCTGCTATGCGATCACGTACTTCAGCCGTTTCTCGGTCTCTCGACAGGGACGACCTAGTTGAATTATGCTGATTCAAACTTGCACAAATGTTGTCAATTATAATAAATCTTTTTGATGTGCATAAGAAGTCGCATAATCTAGCGATTATTCCTAGGTATTATACCTCCTATTATGTTGACCATTACAGTGATTTTAACATTTTTCTTTTCTCATCCTCCTTTTCCTTCCGTCCTTGCATACACTGTTTGTTAAACAGCCATTCCTCGATACGCGAAGCATGATTTCCAAAATGACTGCGGTTTCTTTCCAACAGCTTACATTATAATAGGACATTACTGTAACATTTTAGCGTAGGATCACGTATGCTTCGTATCTCAGGAATCAACTGATTTATTTTCAAACTATGCTGTTGATTCTCGACTAAACGAACAGAAATTTAACTAAGGCTTTTCAACGGATTCAGTCTTTCAATGCAGGCAACTGTCGAGGACTGAATTCCGAGACGTAATAAAATCAGCTGCTCAAAATGGTTCAGATATCTAGATTTAGTTCTGCCGCCCCCATCTACCTGCGCTGCATCCTTGCAAAGACCTTAATTCTTAAGAACATTATTGCTGACACTCTGATCTTCCATACCCAAACCATTTAAATTAAGTTCCTTTGAGTTGAAAACGGACCAGCTCATTTTGGACTACTGCTTATCCGAGTCAGGCTGGCATGATATAAACATGGCCCAGTCCACTATCCACTAAACTTGTTTCTTGAACCTGACGACAAGTATCGGTGTCAGTCGGTCCGTCGCAAAACCTAGGTTACTGTACTGAAGTACTGATAAAAGTATTGATTGATGGACGAGCAAGAGTTTTTTAGCGGTCGTCAGTTTCCTACCGAAAATCAGTAATGTCGAGTGCATCTGTGAGGCAGTGCACGGCCGGCCAGTGGAAAACAGTTGTTCGACTCAAGTGAGGCACTTGTGAACAGAGGTAGTGGGTGGCTCCTTCGTTCAAGTGTCAAGCGCGTTCCCCAAACGTTCGAGGCATCTTTCGTGTACAGAAGCGTGAAAGAAACGGTACAGCTGTTCGAGTCAATCTTAAGTCGTCCCAGTCAGCACTTGTTCAGTGTGAATGAACGGCCCAAAAAACGGCCGTTGCCGGCGCAAGTGCCTCGTCGGCCGAATGGTGAGCGGTCGACGTCGCATCTGCCGGTCGGTTAATTGAACAGGGCCAGTGATCAAGCGAGATTTAATATTAAATGCACGGCGTGAGTGAACGGCCTGCAGCCGCTTGTTAATTAGTCGATCAAAATTCCAGTCACTTTTTGCGCATTGGCGTTCAACGATCAACGGCGGTGTCGTCAGTTCGACAATCGTAAAAAGCCCATTAGCGACAGGTGATTAACATCGTCTGGGCAAATTGAGTGCCCGATCGACAGCCAAAGAACGGCCAAATGGCAAACCAGCTCAAGCAAAGCACTGTCTTTAAGCCGTAGGAATGCCGACGTTTCGCCAGGCGGTTGATTTAAGAGGCTACGATCGCGAGATGGAGACCGGTCAATAGCGCTGAAGTGAAAAGTCAAGAAAAACTGTTTCTAACCTTCGAACTGTCG